TGTAGAAACTGTTGAATTGGTATATGCTTTGCTCTGTATGTTCTCAGCAATAACAAGAAAGTAAATATATATTTCTAAAATTCATGTTAAGGTATTACCTTGTAAACTATAAACTAGATGATTGAATTTATATATGTAATTTCTGGTTTTTGCTTTTTTTCAGCTTTAATGTCAGATTCTGCTTAAAGGCTGATGGCAAAGGAGCACTTCCCAGGATGCTTAGTAAGTTATGCTCCAGAAAAGTTACCATATTTAATAATGCTGCAAGCACAACACTTACCAATGTTTGTAGATATTTTGTTATGCAAATTGTTATTGTTGTATTTTATTTGAATGTTTATGGTTAAAGATATTAAAAATTACATGACATTTGCTTCCTTTGATTGGAAACTCTTAAGCCAAATCAGAAAAAATACTTTCATATATTGGTATTCCATGAAAAAGATGAACCACTAAGTAATTAATCTTCAGAAAGTTAACAACAATGTGAGATAAATACTTGCTTAGGGAAAAAGTGTCATTGCTTATAATAAATGGTCTACTGAGAAATTTGTAATATTTTATATCTTGGAGAAATTATATCCTACTTCCCCCTGGGTTATTTATACTCTGTTTGCCAACTGACTAGCCCCAACAATTTTAGGAGTAAAGGTAAGTCTTACTAAAGTTAAATCACTCAAGCAAACTCTTAACTCTTTTCTTATTGTCCTAATACTGGCTCTATGTAATTATTGTTGTTATGTGTTGTGGAGTTGGTTCCAACTCATAGCAACCCTGTACAAGGTTTCTGAGGCCGTAAATCTTTACTGGAGCAGAAATCCTCGTCTTTCTCCCATGAAACAGCTGGTAGTTTTGAACTGCTGACCTTGCGGTTCGCAGCCCGATTCTTAACCACTACGCTACCAGAGATCCTTGGTTTTATCTGATACTGAGAGCAAAATAGAGGTGTTCAATAAGTGTTGCCAATATTTATCAGTATATATTGGATAGTGAAGAGTAGCATTAATAAAGAGAGGAAGAGGACTGAAAGTTTTGGGTTTCTGCATGAAAATTTACAGAGTAGCTAGGCAAGGTCTCATTGGAAGACAACGCATTATAAAGACCTGAAGGGAGTGAGAGCCAACAGATGTCTGGAGGAATGTTTTGCATAGATAAAATGATGATTTCAAAGTAGTTGAGGTATGTTTGGTGTGTTTAAGAATAAGGAGGGCAATGTGGATATGAGTATGACTGAATTTGAACTGAAATAACCCACAGTTTTCACATAAATTTGAAGTAAATGTCATTTAAAGAAACTTGGAAGGAGATTGTGATTTTAAAGGTCTGCACTCATCTCTTTTGAAAAAATTTACGTAAAGAAAAAAATGACATAAAAAAATCTTTTTGACTGCACTTGTCCTAATAACTATATGCCTCAAACCACTGGCTGCGTGTTCACTTTAAAATGACTATGCCCAGTCAAAGAAGCACTGGCAGTGTAGTGGATTACCATCTGGGCTGCTACTTGCACTCTACCAGCTGCTCTGCGGGGAAAAAGAGGAGAGTTTCTGCTCCCATAAAGATGTATAGCCTCGGAAACCCTCAAAAGGGCCATTATGAGTCAAAACCAACTCTGTGGCACACAACCACCACCACTACCATTCCCATTAACAAGTCCCTTGTGGTGGCACAGACAGTTAACATACTCTGCTACCAACTGAAAGGTTGGAGGTTCCATTATACTTGGTAATCTGTGCCCCCGCTCCCCCAAATTAAGCAATTGAAAGCACAGTTGTACTCTTGACACATGTGTGGTCAACAGAAGTTGGGTTTGACTTGATGGCAACTCTTTGTTAACTCTATTGCCTGTTAAACTGTACATAGTCTTTTGTTTCATAAGAGCCATATTTGCCTGACATTTAGACTTGTTGCAACATATAGCAAAAAAAGCAGGACTTATAGATGTTGCAAACTGCTCATTCATCACCATATAATGGTATGTAAATGTAATTAGTAAATTTTTTAAAATCACTAATAGCAATCGTACTCAACCACTCATCTATTCGTTTGTCATACTGTGGTGGCTTGCAGTGATGCTGGAAGCTTTGCCGCTGGTATTTTAAATATTAGCAGGCACTTAAAACACGACTGGGGAAGAGCTACTCAAAGTAGTGTTGACCATGATAATGTGAATGTAGAAAAGCTTCTGGATCCTTCATTTGCTGATGGGGCACAACTCAAAATGACAAGGAACAGCTGTAAACATCCATTAACAATCAGAATATGGAATGTGCAGTACAAAGTATGATTCTAGGAACATTGGAAGTTGTCAAAAATGAAATGGAATGCCCAAACATCAATATCCTAGGCATTCGTGAACTGAAATGGACTGGTATCGCTCATTTTGAATCTGATTAACACTGAGTCATGAAGATGTTCAGCCTCATGACTTAGGGAAAGGTGGAGAGGTCATTGTGACCATAGATGGTGCCATGCTCTTGAAAGGAAAAGATGACAAAGGCTCAAATCAAAAAATGTATTCAAGAAGTTGTTGAGCTGGTACACACCACAACTAGTGAATATGAAAAGGAAAAGCTGAATGAATGACAGGCAAAACTTTCAGATGGAGTAGCCGTGCTAAAAGTTGGTGGGACAAGTGATGTGGAATGTAAAGAAAGACAGAGTTACAGTTGTCGTCAGTGTAACCCGAGCTCCTGTTGAAGAGGACACTGTTCTTGGTTTTCTTGGTGGTGACTGTGCTCTGCTTCGGTGCATTCCAGCCTTAGACTCACTAACTCCAGCAAATGAAGATAAAAAGTTGGTATAGAAATTATTTTAAAAATACTCCAAATTCTTGCAATGACTCTTGCTAACAATGCAGGTGTTGAAAGATAGTTGAGAAAATTATGCAGAGTTCCTCAGAATTTGGTTATGATGCTAAACTTGGAGATATTGTCAGTATGGTAGAAAAAGGAATCACTGATCCAACCAAGGTTGTAAGAACTTCTTTTTGGGATGCTGCTGCAATGGCCTCCCTGTTAACAACAGGAGAATTTGTAGTCACAAAAAATTCTTAAAGCAGAGAAGGACCCTGGCATGGGTGGAATGGGTAACATGGGAGGTGGCATGTTCTAGTTCCTAGAATAGTGCTTTACCATTTATCAGTGAATTGTGACAGGAAGCTCAAGGCAGTGTTCCTTCAAGTCATTTGGAGACAAGAAAAGGTCTGAAGAAAAGAGGTGACCCAGTGGAATTCAGAAATCATCAGACAGTATCACTGATATCATAAGCAAGTAAAATTTTGTTAATGATGATTCAAAAACGGCTGCAAAGGTGCATTGGCAAGGAACTGCCAGAAGCTCAAGCTGGATTCAGACAATTATGTAGAACTAGGGATACTATTGTAGACTTCAAATGGATGTCGGCTAAAAGTAGAGAATGCCAGAAAGGTATTTGCCTGTGCAAGCTGTGGACAACATAGCAGACAATGAGTACTCTGGAACACGTAATTGTGCTCATAAGGAATAGAACAGGAGGCAGTCATCCGAACTGAACAGGGAACATTGAGTGGTTTAAAATTAGGAGAGGTGTACTCCAGGGTGTGTTATTTCACCATGCTTACTCAATACGTATGCTAAGTAAATAACACGAGAAGTTGGATTATATGAAGAAGAACCTAGCATCAGGATTGGAGGACGATTCATTAACAACCTGTGATATGCAGATGCTACAACCTTGCTTGCTGAAAGTGAAGAGGACTTAAAATACTTACTGATGAAAATCAAAGACCTCAGCCTTTGTATGGGTGGCACCTTAATAAAATGAAAACAAAAGACCAATAAATAACACCATGCTAAATGGAGAAAAGATTGAAGTTATTGAAGACTTCTTGTTTAGACATACTTTGAGGAGGGACCAGTCCTTGGAGAAGGACATCATGCTAAATAACATGGAGGGTCAGGGAAAAAGAACCCCACTGAGATGGATTGGCACTGGGGTGGCAGCAGCAGTGCGTTCAGTTAACAATGATGGTGAGGACGGTGCAGCACTGAGGAGAGTTTCGTTCTGTTGTGCATAAATTGTTATGAATGGGTATCAAATTGATGGCACCTAACAACAATAACAACAACAACAACATTCCTGCTATTAGCAGGTAGAGTCTTAATACACTCATATTTCATGTTTTGAACATTTTTACTCTCAATTTAAAGGAAACAGTTTCTCCTATATTTAGTATTTGTTTTACTATCAGTTTCCCTACTATGTAGAATTAACAATTTAGCATTATTTTGGGGATGGCTGGATAAAAATTAATGATCAGTATTTATGTAGAATGAACATGTTGGTAGTTTTATTGCAATTTAAAAAGTTTATTAGGAGCAAACTATTTTTAAGGAATAAACATTGTCCTTTTTTGTGAAAACTGTAGGTACCTAGGTCAGATAGATGTTTGCAAAGAATATGTTGGTTATGTATTCTTTGGTTTGTGTAGCTTTCCAGGTAGAGCTTCTTTTGGATAAACTCAAGCAGAAGGGAGCAATTCGGCGAGCGCTGTTTCTCCATAACAAGTCCCCAGGTCACTCCAAGAACATGACCATTTCAAGAGGGGGACAGATGCAGTGTGAGGAACTAATAGCATACCTGCGGGTAAGATACTTTTTGGCTCCATTATCGGTTGTTGTTGTTTTTTTAGTTAGTTTAAATGTTTTGTTTTCATCTAAATTATTTTCACTTTCTCCAATGTTTTTGGATATTCGAAAATAAAAGAGAAACACACTTGAAATTTGACTTTTTTAAGTATCTAACTTGAGTAATGGATTTCCATTCCTGGAAGACTAGCTATTCCAAATGGCTTATTACACAACAACACTACTACTGAATAAATTATGATAAACAAACTTCGTAAGTACTACTAGACTCTCAAGCAAATAAGGGAATCTCCAGAGTTCAAAACACAATCCATCAACTAAAAAGCTCCAGTGGCTAAACCTGAATTGTGAGTTACAAGCAAACGTGTGAGCCAGGTTTGCTGGTGAGGGGTAGAAGCTGAGGAGAGTGGAGAGTAATTCTAGATACCTGCAATGCGATTGAGATTCACCTGGGGCCTTCTGCAAATCAGGATTTGGAATCTGAGAATCCTGCTGATTCCCAGGGCAGAGGAGCACACTAGTTCCAAAGCCTCTGAAAAGAAATGCAATCAGTGTATACCCCATGATTTCCACAGGCTAAAGTCAATTAAATATGAATTCATTAACAAACAAAAAATAGCACCAAACACAAAAGAAAACAAGCTACTAGAAGAAACCACAGACTTTAGGCCTGCAAACGCAGGATATGTTGCAGTTATCAGTTATGGAATATAAATTAGTATTAAATGCTAAAAGGAATAAAAGATGGAATTTTTTGAACCATATTTGCCACATTGTTGTTGTTGTTATGTGCCGTAGAGTTGGTTCCGACTCATAGCAACCCTGTACAGGGTTTCTGAGGCTGTAAATCTTTACGGGGGCAGAAATCCTCATCTTTCTCCTGCAGAACAGCTGGTAGTTTTGAACTGCTGACCCTGAGGTTTGCAGCCACATTTAAAAATGTAAATAAATATATGCTGTTGTTGTCGAATATCAAGTCAGTTCTGACTCAAAGTGACCCTGTATAGGGTTTTCAAAGAGCAACTGGTGGGTTTGAGCCACCGACCTTACGATTCAAACTGACCAAGACTCCAGTTATATATACTCCATCATTTATTCCTTTAAGCATTTAATGCACAGTCAATATTCTGTAACTGCTAATTGTATCATCTCCAGTGGAGTCTGGTACCTGTAGGGTAAACAGTAGGTTGCTAACCACACAGTCTGCTCAGAGTCACCAGTTGCTCCTTGTTATCCTGTACAGGGTCACTATGAGTCAAAACCAACGTGACAGCACTTAACAGCAACAACAAAAACAGCAGTGTGTGTGATTATTTATTTTTAAGGTGCTGTCGCGTCAGTTCTGACTCACAGCCACCCTGTACCAGGTTTCCAGGAAGCGGTTGGTGTGTTTGAACAACCAGTCGTGCAGTTAGCAGTCCAGTTCTTATCCTGCAGTGTCACACAAGGACTCTGGGTGTGTGTATATTTTGTTGTTAAGTGCTGTCAAGTGGGCTCCAACTCATAGTAACCCTGTGTAGGGTTTCCAAGGAGTGAATGATGGATTTGAACCACCAACCTTGTGACTAGCAAGCCTTATCCAATAGCACCACAACCAGCAAAATATTTGCCGTTTTAGCATTTTTTACATATAAAACTCAATAATGTTAATAATGTTGTTCATCATGTTATACAACCAAAGAATGGGATTTTTTGAGATAAGTTAAAAAACATCAATAAAGATTTTTAAGATATATGATTAACAAGCTTGATTTAATGGACATATATAGAGCCCTGCATTTTACCTACAATTGGAGAATATAAAAACTGACTATGTTATGTCACTAAGGAAGTCTACACAAATTGTTAGAAATTAGTGTCATAGAGAACATGCACTCTGATCATTATCCAATTTTGGGAACCAAAAGTAAAAAGTAAATTGGGAATTAAGAAAAAAATTTTAAATAGCTTGTGGGTCATGAATAAATACCATGAAACGTAACTCTGAATTTTAAAAAGGACTGTATCAAAATGTGCAGGATGTCAAAAGTAGGATGTGAAGGTAAACATATAATCTTAAATGTTTTGGTGGGTTTTTTTTTTTTGTTGCTTTTGTTTATTTATTAAAGAACAAAGACTGCAAATTAGTGAGCTAATTTAAGTGATTAGAAAGAATCAATAGTATAAGCCCTAAAAAAAAAATGGGATAGGAACGAAATTTAATGAATTGTTTTAAACAGTTAAAATGAAGAAGATTAACTTTTTGGAAAGATTGACCCAGAAAAAAGTGAGGAAAAAAGAAAAACTCCACAAAACTAGGAATTAAAAAGGGACATATTGAGAGTTTTGATAGCGTTACAGGGCAAGGGTAACTATTGCTGCCTTTGTGTTGTGTGAATCCATGCATTTCTCCAGATAGTTTAAGCTCATCATTCATTTTTCATTTCTAGGATGAATCTGAATTTAGGGACAAGCTCACACCAATTACCATTTTTATGGAGTATCGGTTAGATTATCGAACAGCTGCTGATGCAACGGGCTTGAAGCCTATTCTTAACCAGTTCACTCCGGCTAATTTTAGTCGACAGGTACAATATTTTTTCCATTTTTCATTACCTCTACTACTTGTTCTCTTTAAAAGGTCTTGACGTTTATATTTTTAAAGATAAGAGATTGGGATACATTCCTAGACAAGGGAAATGCTAAACATAAAACATATTGTTGGTTTTTAATTCATGTAACTTTGACACAAATGTAAATCTGTGTACTAAATGAGAGCTAGCCATAAAAATCTGGGAAGTTGAGGGAAAAAAGTCTTAAATTCTGGCAGAATGCTGACAATTGACAAACCTAGAGTGGCCTCATCTTTTTATTCTTCTTCCTCTTCAATTTGATAATTCTTTCACATCCTACCCAATGTAATCTGCTTCCTCCCATGATTTCTGTCTTTGGGACTTTCTGTTACTGCTCCAGAAGGCATACTCCTGGTCATCCCTAGAGGAAAAGAATTTAAGTTTTTACTTATTTCAACTGTCCTGAGTCTGTTAACAATAATGCTGCCTGTTCCTCTTCCTTTATCTCTTTACCAATAGGCTTTCTTATGGTGGCCCTTTCATCTTTCTGTCTGAATGGATGCTGTACATCTACAACTCTGTATTCATTTATCCATGGCAACCGTATTTCCAATTTCCCAGTATGCATTACTTTGTTGTTGTTAAGTGCCGTGGAGTCGGTTCCGACCCATAGGGACCCTGTACAGGGTTTCCGAGGGTGTAAATCCTTACGGGAGTAGAAAGCCTCATCTTTCTCCCGCGGAGCGGCTGGTAGTTTAGAACCACTGACCTTCAGGTTCGCAGCCCGATTCGTAACCACTACGCTACCAGGGTGTTTATTTGAACTTCACAGCAGCTCCATAATGTTATCAAAAGCTCAATCTGTAAAGAAAAACTCTAGAAGGGAATTTAACTTGCCCAAGACAATATAATTTAGCCAGCAGCAGTATTAAGCTGAAACCTCTGTCTTATTAATTATTAATTGGTCTTCTACACCATACTTATCACAAAATCACAACAACTTAATATGAGCTAGAATTAAGTTCTCATCTGATTGTGTTATACACTATAAATATCTTTCTTTCTCATTCCTAACTAGCTACTCGATCTGTTTAAGTGGTATGAACTCTTTTCTCCTAGGTATACAAACCAGTGGTGATGGTGGGTTTTGTGCCGTCAAGTCAGTACCAACTCAGAGTGACCCTGTTACAGCATTTCCGTAAATCTTTATGGAAGCAGAAATCCTCATCTTTGTCCTACAGAGCAGCTGGTAGATTCAAATTGCTGACCTTGCAGTTAGCAGCCCAAATCAACCTACTTGGCCACCAGGGCTCCATGTATAAATAAGCTGTTGTTTTTTTGTTAAGTGCTGTCAAGACATTCTGACTCATAGTGATCCTGTACAGGTTTCCAAGGAGTAACTGGTGGGTTTAAATCTCCAACCTTGTGGTTAGCAGTCCAGTGCTTGTCCACTACACCACGACCCCATACAGACAGGTTGTTGTTGATATAAGTGTTGTCGAGTTGGTGCCCACTCATAGCAACACTTTTTTAGGGTTTCTGAGGAGCACTACACCAGGCCTCCCATACAACCAAGTAGACATGTGTAAATAAATACATGCATGTGCACGTACATGTGTGTTCACACACACTAAAATTCACATATATATACTCAGCATGTGAACTCTGTATTGGTTTTCATGTATTAATTTTTTTTTTTTCTAGGCTCATATTCTGCTTGACTGTGGTGAAGACAATGTTTGTAAACCCAAGCTGAAAGTTTCTGTGGATAGGTAAGTTTTGTTCCAAATAATAAACACTCTAAATATAAACTCTAATAAGAAATTTAAATTAAAGAGCACTATAATTTTGTATTCAGTTTTAACATATTTCATTGCGAATTAATTATATTGGAGGATGATGCATGATTATAGATGAGAAAACTATTAACATTGAGCTTCAAAAAAAAATCCACTGTGTTTTCACTGGTAACCTACTTCGATAGACTTATTTCTACTCGTCAGTTTGTGGTGTCACAAAGTACCATTATATCACCTCAAGAAAATGTAGTTCATTATAGATATTCTCTATCCTGAGAGACAGATTGCCATTTTATACAATATACACGGGGGCTTAAAAAAGTTCTGAAAAATTCGGTTAAAAGATAATGGAAATTTTCTAAGAGCTTGTAGAAGCCATCTTTTATAAACTAAAAAGAACTGTGAGAATCATTGCAAATTACTGATTTGGCTTTTCTTTTTGAAAAAAATCAGAATTAATAAGTATATAATGAGAAGTATAATATTACTTCATTAATAGATATGTGACCAATAGTGATATACTAGTGGCATCATTGCTTTCTTTTACTTATAGAAACAATGGATTTGCACCCAACATGCTATCTCTGCTTTTCTGTTGAACTGTGAAATAGTCTTAAAATATCTTGGAAAAACTGTTGAGCATGTCAGTGCTATCTTTGTATTTGTCTCTCATCTCTTTGAACAACTACACTCTCCCCAGGAAGTCTTTTTTCACTGTCTGGATTTGTATTAACTTGTAGTGATCAAAAGAAGATCTATATCGGGGACGACAACCCTCTGACATTGATTGTTAAGGCTCAGAATCAAGGAGAAGGCGCCTATGAGGCCGAGCTCATTGTTTCCATTCCACCAGAAGCTGATTTCATTGGGGTTGTACGAAACAGTGAAGTAAGCAAGCTGCTTTTTGAAAAATCGAAATGCACTCATAGGTCTTATTCATATTAATGAGCTGCTCCCCTATTTAGTGAAGCACTAGCTTAGACATTCTAACTAAAGCTAAGTTGCTAGACAACAGAGAGCCTATCTTACATAATTCCTTTCAGGCTTGATACTTGCATGATGCATTGATAGGACATTTTTACAATTGTTAGCTAAGTACCTGAAAGTGAGGTCAGAGAGATAAAGTGTCTAAGCCTGTCCATCAGATTATTTGTCAGAGGTAATATAGTTATATATCTAAGTCCTCTTGCGATCTTTGGAAACACATTTATATGTGGCAATTATATGTAATCCTGGCTCGTTCATGGCCTCCAATTGCTCAAATAGATTTATTAGCTTTGTAAAACAAAAACTTGACTGTTAATCTACTTGGTATTTATTATATACAGTATACCCTTTCGGTTTCTGCCCCCAATTAATAATTTATATTTCTTTAATATCCTTTTCTCTATTTATCAAAGACCTTAGCAAGACTTTCCTGTGCGTTCAAAACAGAAAACCAAACCCGCCAGGTGGTATGTGATCTTGGAAATCCAATGAAGGCTGGAACTCAAGTAAGGCATTTTAATTAAATGGATTTTCTTTTTTCTCTAAAGAGAATTAGGTAGCTTTTATGGGTCTGTCCATAGTAATTTTTTTTTTCATTTTCATTGTGAATTGAAAGAAGGTTTTATAAAGCAGATCATCAGTTTTACATTCAACAAATCATACACTTCATTTCATCTCAAGGCTTGCAGGCCCCTCAATGTCACTATCTTGCTTCCTCCCTCTGTTTTTGTTTCCATCCCACCTTCTCTCCCAACCCTTCTGAATTGTGTCCTTAGGCGAAGGCTGCCCTTTTGATCGTGAATGGTTGACCATTCTGTGGTGTGCATGCCTCACTAGCATTGTGCCCCACTACTTACCTATGTATTGATTGGCTAAAAATTGAGCTAATATGGTGCATAGTCATTTTAAAATAAATACTTCAAATTGATGGCATTAAGTTGGTTTTGATTTAGAGTTTAATGATAAGCAGAGTTTTATTTCATTTTGACCAAGATACTAAAATATTAGAATTTGCTGTAAAACTGTGTTTAACAAACTGAACTTTACATTGTCTTTAGTGTGATGAATGGATGAACTAAGAACTGAAATGACCATTTAAGTGTTTTAAACTGGTGCTTTCTTTCATGGTTGCTCATAAAGCAACTTTGGAAAAGACTAAGCATGTCACTTTTTGGTTGTTGTTGGTTGTTGTTGTTAGGTGACATTAAGTTGGTACTGACTCATAGCGACCCTATGCACAACAGAACGAAACACTGCCTGGTCCTGGGCTAACACCACAATTGTTGCCATGCTTGAGCCCCTTGATGCTGTCAGTTTGCCAATCCATCTCGCTGGAGATCTTCTTTTTCTTTGCCCCTCCACCTTACCAAACATGATATCCCTCTCCAGTGACTGCCCCCTCCTGACAATATGTCCCAAGTATGAGAGATGATATGTGACCATCCTGGCCTCCAAGGATCACTCTGGCTGTACTTCTTCTAACACAGATCTGTTTGGTCTTTTGGCAGCCCATGGCACTTTCAGTATTTTCCTCCAACATCTTAACTCAAATGCATCACTTCTACAATCTTCTTTATTCACTGTCCTACTTTGGCATGCATATGAGGTTATTGAAATTACCATGGCTTGGATCAAGCTAACTTCTTTGCTCTTTAACACTTTAAAAAGGTCTTGTGTAGCAGATTTGCCTAATGCAATACATCATTTGATTTCTTGGTTGCTGCTTCCATGATTGTTGATGGTGAATCCAAGAAAAATGAAGTTTTTGACAACTTCAGTCTTTTATCCATTGATAAGCATATTGTTTATTGGTCCAGTGGTGAGGATTTCTGTTTTCTTTACATTGAGATGCAATCCATACCGAAGGCTGTGATCGTTGATCTTCATCAGTTAGTATTTTAAGTCCCCTTAACTTTCAGCAGTCAAGATTGTATCATCTGCATATCGCAGGTTGTTAATGAGTGTTTCTCCAATCTTGCTGCCACATTTTTTTCATACAACCCAGCTTCTTGGATTATTTGCTCAGCATACAGATTGAATAAATATGGTGAAAGAATACAACCGTGTTGCACACCTTTTCTAATTTTAAACCAGTAAGTATTCCCATGCTCTGTTCGAACAACCGCTTCTTGGCCCAGATACAGATTCCTCAGGAGTACAATTAAGTGTTCCGGAATACTCATGCTTCGCAATGTTGTCCATAGCTTGTCATGTTCCACACAATCAAAAGCCTTTGCATAGTCAGTAAAGCACAGGTAAACATCTTTCTGGTATTCTCTGCTTTCAGCCAAGATCCATCGGACATCAGCAATGATATCCATAGTTCCACAGCCTCTTCTGAATCCGGCTTGAACCTCTGGAAGTTCTCTGTCAATGTATGATTGTAGCCGTTCTGTATTACTATGAGCAAAACTTTACTCTCATCAAAGACATTGTCCGATGATTGTCCGATGATTTCCGCATTCCATTGGGTCACCTCTCTTTGCAATGGACACAAATACGAATCACTTCCAATCAGTCGGTCAGATAGTTGTCATCCAAATTTCTTGGCATAGATGAGTGAGTGCCTCCAGTGCTACCTCACTTAGTTGAAAGAATTTAATTTGTATTCCATCAATTCCCGGTGCTTTGTTCTTTGCCAATTCCTTCAGTTCATTTTGGACTTCTTCCTTCAGTATCATTGGCTCTTGATCATATGTTATCTCTTGAAATGGTTGAGCATCAACCATTTCCTTTTGGTACAGTGACTCTGCGTATTACTTCCATCTCTTTTGATGTTTTCTGCATCATTCAGTAAGTTGCCCAGAGAATCCTTCAATAACAAAAGTCGAGGCTTTAATTTTTTCTTCAGTTCCCTCAGCTTGAGAAATGCTGAGCGTATTCTTCTCTATTTGTTTTCTAACTCCAGATCTTTGCACATTTCGTTGTAATATTTGACTTTGTCTTCTCGAGCCGACCTTTGAAATTTTCTGTTCAGTTCTTGTTCCTCCTCATTTCTTCCATTTGATTTAGCATCTCAACGTTGGATAGCAAGTTTCAGTGTCTCTTCTGACATCCATTTCAATCTTTTTCTTCTTTCTTTTCTTCTTAATGACATTTTGCTTTCTTCCTGTTTGATGTTCTTGATATCATTCCACAACTCTCTGGTCTTTAGTGTCTGATGTATCAAATGTGTTCTTCAGATGATCTCTGAATTCAGGTGGGATATATTCAAGGTCATATTTTGGCTTTCGTGGACTTGTTTTAATTTTCTTCAGCTTCAGTTTGAATTTGCATATGAGCAATTGATGGTCTGTTCCACAGTCATCCCCGGCCTTGTTTTGGCTGATGATATGGAGCTTTTCCACTGTCTTTCCACAGATGTAATCAGATTTCTGTGTATTCCATCTGGTGAGGTCCATATATATAGTCATTTCTTATGCTGTTTGAAAAAAAAAAGGTATTCTAACAAATCTTAGAATTCTATCATGCTATCTCTAGCATAATTTCAGAATTCTATCATGCGATGTCCAGCATCTCACTTTTGGGTAGAATAGATTTATTCTACTAACTTGGTATTATGGTCCCAAACAGAGAGAACCAAAGAAAAACTTAGCTTGATCAGGATCTCCTACAAGTGATGAAGAATAGATCTCAAGAATTTGACAAGTCCTAATTGGTCTTTTCTTAAATTTTCTAAAATACCAACAGAATATAAACCAGTTGCTATTGAGTAGATTCCAACTCATAGTGATCTCGTGTGTCAGAGTAGAACTGTGCTTTATGGAATTTTCAGTGACTAATTTTTCAGAAGTGGTCACCAGGACTTTTTTTCAAGGTACCTTTGGATAGATTAAAAAATACAGCCTTTGGGTTAGCAATTGAGCACATTAACCATTGCACCACATAAAGACTCTGTTTTGTGTTGCTTTTTCAATAGCATTTATTGAATTTAGCATTAATGCTGGTAATTTGCAATTCTGGTTAATTTGATGCTATTTATTTCATGTTCATTTAAGTATGCTTTCAAATAATATTCACTGTTTTTAAAAATCTGTTATCTTAGAGAAAAGAACTTGCACAGATACACTAAATTCTGTTTTTTCACGTGTGTGCTTATTTAACACAGTGCTTTTTATTTTCTCACATTCTCATTTCCTTTTTTCCTCTCCCTAATAACCCATCCAGTGCAGATAGTTCATGGTTATGTCAACTGGCCAATTATAGGGTTTATAAAGTTGTAGGCAGTTTGATGAAATATCCAAGAAATTACATTTTTTATGTCATCTATACAATCCCTAAGAAACCTGCTTTCTTCACCTTGCTGCCTAATTGTCATCTGTATAATCTATCAGTTTTCTACCTGCAGGAGTAGGATGTTTGGTTTTGGTGCGGCTGTGGCAGATGTGGAGAAATTCTGGTCTGGCCTTACCAAAGCCCTTCTCTTTTTTTAAGCCAAATTCTCTTACTGATAAATTATTCATTATTTCCTTTCAGTTACTTCCCTACTACATTTGTAGAGGTTCATTTGTTAGCTTTTTGTTGCCAAATTAATTCCTGTTTTTTCATTGAATCAACACCAAACACTTACCTGTTGCATTCTACTAGTTAGTAGTTTAAAAGCTAATATGAGAAGGCAGTGTAAATTATGATTAATAATTGCTAAATATGCTCCACTATGGGTTGACACAAGTGTCTTAAATAAAGGAGACTTGATTGCAAATTAGATTGAATCATCTTTGTTAACGTATTTTCAGTTTTATTTGTAAGTTTGGAAAAACCCAACCTTAAAAGATTCTTTTTTTAAATTTTACTATTTGATGTGAAATTTTACTAATTAGATATCATTTTCACTAACAGTAGCATTTTTTCCTCCCTCCTAAGCTTTTAGCTGGTCTTCGGTTCAGTGTGCACCAGCAATCAGAGATGGATACATCTGTTAAATTTGATTTACAGATCCAAAGGTATGCAAACAAATGTAATTAATTTATAGAAACTATTGAGGAAACATTATTAGTTATAAATTTATTATGTAATATTGATTGTAAATATGGATTTGAAGAGATTAAAATTTTGGTACTTGAAGTTTCTATACTCTTAAAGTTAATATTTACATTATAAGTATAATTATGATTTCAATTTTAAGCTAAATTTCTATGTTCCATTGAACACGAACATTAGACCAGATATATATGTGTCCTCAAGGAAAACTTAATCATCTTGGAATTAGTTGCTAAAGAAAAGAATTACTTTGATTTTTAAGTTTTTCATTTCCCTGTTACCTTTAATTTGCTCATTTTTAGTGTCACAGTTTGTCTCTATGCTTTTGATAATGGCACTGCTCAATTCAGTTCTAAATTTTCTTTTCTTTTCCAGCTCAAATCTTTTTGACAGAGTAAGCCCAGTGGTATCTTACAAAGTTGATCTTGCTGTTTTAGCTGCTGTTGAGATAAGAGGGTCAGTATGATTACTAAGTTGAGTATCTCATTCTCATGATTGCTTTTTAAAGTAACTATGAGGTCTTAGCTTCTTTCTGGTGTTCCATGTTTAAGTTGTGGTTTTACTAGGGTTATAGCGCATAGGTAGCTACAGACATCTAGGGAATCATCTGGAAAGAAATTAGACATGGCAATAGCATGCACACAATAAGTTTATCAAACTTTTACATGCATTGACTCATCAATTCACCTTTTCATATGTGCATTTACTAAATAATAATTTTGCGCATGTGTAAGTCTACATGTATGTATAGATTTTTTTTTTCCTTTTACATGCATGGTTTGTTTGTTTTTAAAATTAGTTCCAATTATATTTATGTGAATACAGGGTACTTTTGAAAATGAACTGACTATATCATTTTGATATTCATGGTAGGTTTTCTTTGGTCATTGTTTAGAGTCTCAAGTCCTGATCATATATTTCTTCCGATTCCAAATTGGGAACACAAGGAGAATCCTGAAACTGAAGATGATGTTGGGCCAGTTGTTCAGCACATCTATGAGGTTTGCAACTGTTGGATATAAATGAAGTATAGTCAGAAAAAATAGAGGAACAAACTAGGCTGAAAAAAATAATTTATGCTATTTTAATGAAAATTTTGCATAATTGAAAATACTTTCTAGGTAGATCTTTGATTTTTAGACCTATTTATAAATTCATTTTTATTAGTCAAGTAGCTTTAATCAAGTGGTTAAAGAAATTAAAAAATTTTAAACCAGTTAGTTTTCCTTAAATAAAGGTTATATATCATTGAGTATTTTTACATGGATAATTTGTACTTACAACTAAAATTTGAAGAAAATTTTTCTATGCCTGTCTTTCATCAGTAATTAAAAAATATCTTCCTCATGTATTTCACCTCTCATTTGGATATACATTACTTTTCTTTAGAGACCAGCATTGAGTTTTTCCTCTATAATAATACTCACATTGAGTTATAAGAGTACAATGGGAAGAATAAACAAGATGGCAGATCCAGTAGAAGTGCAGTGACAAGCTCCATCAGCAACAACACAGAAACTGTACAAGCAGGTTCAGGGTATGGTGCCAGAACGCTGAACCACATATAAAGGAATATTTAGAAGGTTGGAAGACTTACAGCTAGGGGAATTTGTAGCAGAAGCAAGAAATCCATTGTTTTCTAATTCAAGACGTTCAGCAGCTCCCAGAGCTGCCATCTTGGAAGAGACCAATTGGGGGAAGGATCAGCACAGCCACAAATGCCTGACAGAACACTGGAGATAAAAGTGTGGACATTCTTTTTTATTGGTTCCATTCATTGGTCTCTCACTGTCTGTGCATCTCCGTTCTAGTGACTAGAGGCAGTGCCTGAATGACTGGACACCCCACCCCCACCCCTGGAGGGTTCTACTACGCATGCATACAGTTCTCCTCGAAATTTAAAGTGACAGTTTCCACTTAAAACCAAACAACAGCACAAATGGCCACAGCCAGCCTGGAACTGTTTATCACTAGGAAAAAGCTCTGAACAGGGATTGTGGAGCAAGACAGGCAGACTAAAAAGGAAATAGGCCGAAAAATAAATCCTGAGTTACATCACAACCACCAACAGTGGCATCTTGAAATTTCTCAGAAAGATGAATAAAAAGGGAAGTCCATCTCTGGATCACATCTACCTTGAGGCAATCAGAAAACATAAAAAATACCAAAATACCCACCCCTCTAAGTATTAAGGTCACAGATAACTCCTAAATATGCCCAAAAAACTGAAGCAGATGGTCATATCAGCCCATGTCCAAAAATGAAATAAAGTGACTGAGGCAAATGAGCTGGAGGTAGACCTACACTCCATACTGGAAGATGGGCAGGCTTTGGAAAAGCCTGAGAAGGAATTCAGAAAAATGATTATAAAATGTATCAAAACACTATACAAGGGAGTTGAGAAAAATAAGGAAGAAGTCAGGAAATCGCTACAGGAACAATCAAATAAGATAGATACAGCATTGGAAACAATTTGAAACCTACAGAAAGAGGTCCAAATGATTAATAACAGAATATCAGAAATGGACAATACACTGAAAGGGCAAAGGAGTAGAATCGAAGAGTTAGAAGCCAGAACCAGTGAGCTAGAAGATAAATCTCTCAACACTAGTAAGGTAGAAAAGCAAACACAAAAAAGGATAAAAAATAATCTGAAGAAGGTCTAAGATTCATGTTGGATAACATGAAGAGAAATAACTTAAGAATTGTGGGCATTCCAGAACAGGAAGAATCACACAGGTCCTCAGAGGAGATAGTTGAAGAGCTTGTGGAAGAAAATTTTCCTAACATCCTGAAAAGCAAAAAGATAAGCATTCAAGAAGCTCAATGAACTCCAGGAAGGATAGACCCTAAAGACAATCACAAAAACATATGATAATCAAGCTCTCCATATTCAAGATAAGGACAGAATCCTGAAAGCAGCTAGGGAAAAGAGAAGTGTAACATAAAGGCAAGCAAATCAGATTAAGTTTGGATCTCTCAACAAAAACCATGCAGGCAAGCAAGCAATGGGGAGACATATGTAAAACCCTGAAAGAAAAAACTGCCAACCAAGAATCCTCTACCCAGCAAAGCTGTCAATCAAATACAATGGTGTAACCAAAACATTATAGGATAAACAGAAACAAAGGGATTTTGCCAAAGCCAACCCTGCTATGAAAAACATCCTAAAGGGAAGTTCTGTAGACTGAGAACCAACAAGAACAGACAACAACCAGAGAATGGAGTACGTGGCAGCTTCACCCTGAATTCAACCTGCAAATGGAAGAGTCAATAACAGAATAAAATTATAAGAACAGAACATCTGGGAGGTCAGTCTATGATCAGAACAATTACAGTGTGAAAGAAGGTAAACACACAAGAATAGAGATCCAGGTGGTGAGAGACGGTTAGGTAGATTACAGGAAAAATAGACTGTCTTAAATGGAGTGAAGAGTTAATGGAATATAAGGTAACCACAATGGTGGGGTTGCAGTGGGGGATTTAGTTCAGGTGTTGGGGAAGGCAATACAAGAAGAGGGAGGAGGTGGAAGAACAAGATAGATAGGGGAATTCTGAGACAGGTTTGCATGGCCTACATGGGACAGAGATAAATAAGTAATGCATGCTCAACCTTGGAACAGCAGGGCTCTGTGATACAGGGATCTAGGCATAGCTTGAAGAGGGAAAATAATACTAAAATGCTTGACTGTCTTATGAATAATGGCTTTTTTTTGCCTTCTATTATAAAATAGACACTTGAGTGGGATAGAAAGGAATGTTGGGAAACATGATTACAGAAAACTTATAAGCCCATCTTTAGCCTATAACTGATTGGAATATGTAAAAAGGGTTCAAGAACTTGCCCAGTGAAATAGGCCTCTTGCAAAGACTTTGCAGAGTATAGGACCTTCGGTGGAATCCTGAATTCCATCCAGAGCCTTCTGAGGTGGAACATTCCCACTAGTAAGTACAAGCAGACCAACCTGGAACAGCTAGAGTGACAGAAGATACATCTTCAAAGAAAGATCATCAGGGAAAACCCAAAACAAAAGTGTCAGTATGACTGGCTACTACAAGAATAAGCAGGCTGCTCACCAGGAAGCCATCAAGGCAAGCAATCAAGTCCCTTCAAGACAAACTCCCCTCTAAGACTAAAACTTAAAGGAAAAACACAAACAGGCATGTAAGCTTGTTGGTGACCACATTGGTCTCCTGGTGAGTGGAAAAGGAGGAAAGGCAGCAACGAAGAAATGAGCTGAGCTCAACCACAGTCCATTGACTCCTGTTGACCTGGAGATGAGAGGAGAAGAGGAAGTGCTGGATGGTCTAAACCTGGGGACACTTGGGCCCATGGACAAGGACATAGCCACAGAAGGCTAGAGCTGAGAGTGAAGCATCCAGCTGATATGAAGTGAGGGGGAGATGTACAAGAACACCCATAGTTGCAGACAGTACCCATTTGACCTGGTCTCGATGGCTCGATAATCAGAACTCAACTAGAGGAAGATTACCAAAAAAAAATTTTTTTTCTTTTTGATAAAGGAAACAAGGGTAAATTGCTGCAATTTGATGAATCTGACCTATACTCATGGAGGTAGTAACTCTAAATAACCAACAGAGAGGAAGGAGTCTTCACATGAAGTATCAACGCTTTCCCCTCTATACACAGGGTAGATAGGGACAGGCAACTTAGACATTGGCTACCTAAAATGAGGGGGTGATAAAGGCACGACAAAGTGACTGGTTTTCATCTTGTCTGCATGAGTCTGGTGAAAAGAGATGTGGATAAGATTCTTATGATTCAATAGTGAATAATTGTTATCATGACTAATTGCGACTGTCACAATTGTAAAGGTAGAAGTTTTGTAACAAAAACAGGGGAGTGATTAATCTTAC